ACGGCGTCACTGTGGAAAGGAGCTGAAGGAGGTTAAAGTGTGGCTAAATCTGTTGGCCAACTTGCACGAACGATCGATACAATTGTTTTCAGCAAACGTGGAGTTAGGACGCGGTAGATGAGGTAGAAGAAATTTATTCAAATTCTTAGGTAGAGCCTTAATGGTTTTAAAACGGCGGCGAAATTCACGAAACAAATGTTACTGACAGCGTTTCTTATGACCGAAGTGTGTATTATCGTTAACCCTTTGCACTCGAGAGGCGATTAACCCTCATCCGTCCCTCGTGTCAATTGGACACACTTTTCCGGTAAAATATTGTGTTATTGTATTGTACAAAATTAATTATTTATCTTTTCATTTCATTGATTTTTCAACATTGTGTCATTTGTTAACTTATTAACTCTTTGCGGTCGAAACCCGGGATATTCCCGACAAGGGGTTTTTACCTTCTAAACGCTCTGTGGACACACTTTGCCTGCAGAAACGGGGAAAAAATAATAATAATACGCACATAGCTTGAACAAACTCATTTGAATAAAATTTATGTTTTTGGTTAATAATTGACTGAGTGCGCGGTACCAAAAAATAATTCCGACCAGTACGACTAACATACACTACCGGCCAAAAGTTTGGAATCGATTGCCGATTTCTATCAAAATCGAATATACCGGTAAATTTTGGAATGATCCATCGTTAATATATCAGATCTTAACAAGTTGAATTATACTTTAAGAGATTTCAGCATTTTCTTATGTCCATAATACTATTATATAATTCATACACTCAGTTTAAGGCAACGCTCGCAATGAACTTTTCTACTGCCGGGAAAGATACTCTGTTTTCGCCTTATATAGGAATTCGCGATTCTTTTGTTTACCAATAAGCGTCGAATGTTACAATATTAGATTCCAATTGGCTGGTCCGGGGGCCGAGAAAATGTATAAATCGGACATTTGTTATACATTGCCACCATTCTCGTGAACGAAGGCGTTGAAACGTGATCAGCAGCTAAAATTTTACATTAATACTTTAAAATGGCAAAAAGAATAGAAATTAGTATTGAAACTCGAAGTGCAATTATCACACTTAGAAAGGAAGGTTATTCTTTGCGGAATATTGCAAGGAAATTGAAAGTGTCATACAAGGGCGTGCTGGGTACAGTAAAACGTTTTGCGGATACTGGTAGTTTGAAAGACAAACCACGGTCAGGAAGACACAAAATCACATGTAAGAATAAATATTATTTGCAAACGAAACAGACGACTAACGGCCTCGGAAATTCGTGTAGGACTTAATGATAGTAGACCGAATCCAATATCTCTGACCACGGTGAAAAGGCGACTAACAGCTGCAGGTTTAAATGGCCGTATAGCAGTCAGGA